TCCAGCAGCCGACTCCATGCTAAAACGAGTGCTACCGCTATTATATTCGTATAAAGTTTAAATATATTCATGTGTCAAAACATGATAACATTTTACAAATTTTACAAAAAGAAACTCTGTACTTGACTCTCATATAGACATCGCATACACCTGTGACGCCCCCCCCCCCCCCCCCCCCCCCCCCTCCCCCCCCCCCCCCCCCCCCCCAGGCTTTTTTCCGGTTATGTATACGTCAGACTCAATCGTGACAATGTCATTTATATATGTAGAATGCTATTATTCATAAAGATATTACGTAGGAAAACTATAAAACAATGTAGCTATTTTTTTTTCTCGTCCTAATACGCGCGTTTCTCACCGGCTTATTTTCTAAAAAAAAATCCCCAGTAATACCGGCGCCCTCTCCTAAAATGAATACATAACACATAACACACGGGTATAACTATGCAGAATGTAATGACATTATTTCTTTATCGCGAAAATATCATAAAACAGTACAAATCAAAACTATTTTCATCGACGAAATTCATCGTATAAACAACCTCCTATTCTATATAGTATACATATACGTGTAATCACGTACATGCTTCTTTTTGTTCAACTAATAACAATAGTATATTCTGTTGGTTGGAATACATACAGAATACATACAGCATACCTACAGAAGTCAGACAGGCGGATGGACGAACAGAAGGACACAAGAATTTATTTGTTTTCTTTAATTTAACAATGATAAACATATTAATAATCGTTGTTGTAAAATGTTTCCTAAAATGCTGAAACATAAGTCACATATGTGCATTTTAATTTCCTCTTCACTAGCAAAGTCATTGGGGAATTATAATCACGAAGATAGCGTTTCTTTAATATCCAGAACCGGAAGGCAACAAAGAGAAAAGACGAAATAACGCCAAAGCGCCAAAGCGAAAAGACGAAATAACTCCAAAGCGCCAAAGCGAAAAGACGAAAAGACGCAAAAGCGCCAAAGCTAAATAACGAAATAACGCCAAAAGGAGGGAGAAAAGACGCAATTTTATCTCTTCGCTTTGGCGTTAATTTCACTTCGGTTTGGCGTTATTTCGTTATTTCGCTTTGGCGCTTTGGCGTTATTTCGTTATTTAGCTTTGGCGCTTTGGCGTTATTTCGTCTTTTCGCTTTGGCGCTTTGGCGTTATAGCGTTATTTCGTTATTTCGCTTGGCGTTATTTCGCGGGCGACAAAGCGAAAAGACGAAATGTCATATATCAGCCACCATAGTTTTGCCTATTGCTATACTTACAGGAACAGTGACGACTTCTTGCCCAATATTGTGGCTCCTTCGAAATGCCTTGCTGCACATCAGGATGCTGCATAATGCGTTTGAACAGATCAGTACTTCCGCTTTTTGGTTGACCAATCAGCATAAAATATGGAAGACACCGAAGTAATGATGTATTTTCAGGTCTTTCTCGTCCGAAGTAAAGTTTACAGAGTCTCCCTGTGTTACCCTCCATTGTATTGCACAACATTTCTGTCCATTCTGGCCTTCTATCATCATCATCATCATCATCATACCAGCAGGGATTTTTAAAGCCAGGAAGAAAGACGGGTGGTTTCTGCATAAAGAATTTTAACATTTAATCGACAGGTTTAATTAAAATGTTAAAACATCTGTAAAAAAATAATGTTGATATGTTTGCATCTACTTGTCGTTTTCTTTCAATAATTGTACAATGGTATTGTTAACGTATACACTTCATTGTTATTGGTGGTGGGGTTAATGGGGGTTAGATATTGGTGGTGGGGGATGGTTGGAGCTAGATATTGGTGGTGGGGGTTGGTGGGGGTTAGATGTT